TTCCAGCGAAGACTCTCCAGGGTGGCTTGCAGCCTCTGGGCTTGGTCAAACACCTCATCCCCCTTGGGCCGAAGCTCCTCTGTCTTATCAATGATTTTCGTCAGTGAGCCAGTGCATTGGTTCAGCCTCTCCTCCTTAGCCAGGAGAATGTTCTCCAGCTTGGGCAGGCTGTCTTGGTTCTCGCGGACCCACTCCTCTGCCCTCTGAACAGCCCTCTCCTCCCTCAGCACCTCAGTGTGGAGCTGGTAGCACTTCATCTTCAGCTCGGCATTCTCCTTCTCCTGAGAGAACAGGAAAACAGAGCAATATAATGAGACGGATAATCCATTTAGAGATGTGGGAGACGTATTGCAGTAACTATATTTATAAATTTAAGAAGATGCATCAGAATCACACTTCAGTCATATCCAACAAGTATCATGTGTTCTTACCTGGGCGCAGATCCTCAGGTACATGTTGTACAGAATCATGACAAAGGTGTCGTCCATTCCAGGGCCAGCTGTAGAAGCAGCCTCTGGGGCAGCAATGGCTGGTGGTCTTCTGCGAGTCATGCGGGGTATGACCATGGCAGGGGTGGCCACAGCCAGGGCAGTGAAGCCAGGGGGTGGGCGGCAAGGTGTGGCAGGGGCAGCAGTCATTTTACACGTTTTCACTGACAGCTTTTGCTTTGACAGCTGAGTGGTTGACGTCATAGGTTGAACCAAAACAAACCAATCGAACCAAAACAAAACAAAATGTCATTCTTTGACCAAAATTATCTGTCGTCATGGATAGTTGGCAATGCTAGGCAACATAGAATTTTGATAAAAAGCAGACTTAAGTTGGGGTCTGCCGATGACTTACATTGAAAAATCTAATCTCCCTGCTGTCATATCTAACACCAACTTCAATTAAACTCTAAATTATGGTTTGTGGGGTTTGCATGGGTTTTTCACTTGTGTAAAATATTGTGTTGCCACAAATATATATACAGTGGGGAGAACAAGTATTTGATACACTGCCGATTTTGCATGTTTTCCTACTTACAAAGCATGTAGAGGTCTGTAATTTTTATCATAGGTACACTTCAACTGTGAGAGACGGAATCTAAAACAAAAATCCAGAAAATCACATTCTATGATTTTTAAGTAATTAATTTGCTATTTTATTGCATGACATAAGTATTTGATACATCAGAAAAGCAGAACTTAATATTTGGTACAGAAACCTTTGTTTGCAATTACAGAGATCATATGCTTCCTGTAGGTCTTGATCAGGTTTGCACACACTGCAGCAGGGATTTTGGCCTACTCCTCCATACAGACCTTCTCCAGATCCTTCAGGTTTCGGGGCTGTCGCTGGGCAATACAGACTTTCAGCTCCCTCCAAAGATGTTCTATTGGGTTCAGGTCTGGAGACTGGCTAGGCCACTCCAGGACCTTGAGATGCTTCTTACGGAGCCACTCCTTAGTTGCCCTGGCTGTGCGTTTCGGGTCGTTGTCATGCTGGAAGACCCAGCCACGACCCATCTTCAATGCTCTTACTGAGGGTAGGAGGTTGTTGGCCAAGATCTCGCGATACATGGCCCCATCCATCCTCCCCTCAATACGGTGCAGTCGTCCTGTCCCCTTTGCAGAAAAGCATCCCCAAAGAATGATGTTTCCACCTCCATGCTTCACGGTTGGGATGGTGTTCTTGGGGTTGTACTCATCCTTTTTCTTCTTCCAAACACGGTGAGTGGAGTTTAGACCAAAAAGCTATATTTTTGTCTCATCAGACCACATGACCTTCTCCTATTCCTCCTCTGGATCATCCAGATGGTCATTGGCAAACTTCAGACGGGCCTGGACATGCACTGGCTTGAGCAGGGGGACCTTGCGTGCGCTGCAGGATTTTAATCCATGACGGCGTAGTGTGTTACTAATGGTTTTCTTTGAGACTGTGGTCCCAGCTCTCTTCAGGTCATTGACCAGGTCCTGCCATGTAGTTCTGGGCTGATCCCTCACCTTCCTCATGATCATTGATGCCCCACGAGGTGAGATCTTGAATGGAGCCCCAGACCGAGGGTGATTGACCGTCATCTTGAACTTCCATTTTCTAATAATTGCGCCACCAGTTGTTGCCTTCTCACCAAGCTGCTTGCCTATTGTCCTGTAGCCCATCCCAGCCTTGTGCAGGTCTACAATTGTATCCCTGATGTCCTTACACAGCTCTCTGGTCTTGGCCATTGTGGAGAGGTTGGAGTCTGTTTGATTGAGTGTGTGGACAGGTGTCTTTTATACAGGTAATGAGTTCAAACAGGTGCAGTTAATACAGGTAATGAGTGGAGAACAGGAGGGCTTCTTAAAGAAAAACTAACAGGTCTGTGAGAGCCGGAATTCTTACTGGTTGGTAGGTGATCAAATACTTATGTCATGCAATAAAATGCAAATTAATTACTTAAAAATCATACAATGTGATTTTCTGGATTTTTGTTTTAGATTCCGTCTCTCACAGTTGAAGTGTACCTATAATAAAAATTACAGACCTCTACATGCTTTGTAAGTAGGAAAACCTGCAAAATCGGCATTGTATCAAATACTTGTTCTCCCCACTGTATATATACACACAGTATATAAGAATCTTAGACATCACACACAATACAACAGTAATTTAAAAAGACAATACCACACATTATTATAACATTTGTATTATTTATTATTATTTTCATGCACACTCACTGTCTGGCTTGAAAGTGACAACTCCACGAACAGCTGATTTCCTTTCAGCAGTATGATATAATTGCAATATCATATCAATAGTTTAATACACCTGTATAAAATTAATTTAAGTACATGTACCACAAGCGAGCAGATTATCTAATGTTTATGGTATTTACTGTATGTCTGTTGGGCAAATCTGAAATCATCCATGTCCTGAGGTCTGAAGATCTGAAAATAGTCTTATTTTAAGACAATTTGCCATTAAACAACCTTCTGTGATTTGGATAGAATGAATTAATGTGCAATGTTGTGCATACATACACTGCACTTGACAACATTGAGTTCTCAAGATAAATGTAGAAATATGGTACCAAATAGTCAACATTTAAGGATACTTTGGATGGATTGGATGGGGTTAACACATTTTGAAGTCGATGCTGAGTTGTAACCTAAATCGCTTTTAATATTAAGAATAATATAAACAATATGCAGGAAGTATATGTTATTACATGCTGTAAGTGCACATAGAACAAAACATGTCAAGATCCAGCTTGATCTTTTCCTAAACAGGGCGTTTTCAAACAAACCTTCAAGCACACTTTGGAGTAATTGGCTTACTACAACATGTCTACTAAAAGACAAATTCACTACAGCTCAGTGTTTCCCCCAGGAGTGTTTTCAGCAGTGGTGGCAGAGTTACCTGTTTTTTTATGATTTTATTTAATTATAATATAATTTTTGAAGTGGCGGCCACGATTTAGCAGCGGTGGTGCACTGCATATAGGGGAAACACTGCAGTTTATGGTTTTTAAAACTGACTTACATACACTATATATACAAAAGTATGAGGACACCCCTTCAAATTAGTGGATTCGGCTATTTCAGCCACACCTGTTGTCAACAATTGTATAAAATCGAGCACACAATCATGCAATACACAAACATCGGCAGTAGAATGGCCTTACTGAAGAGCTCAGTGACTTTCATCGTGGCACCGTCATAGGATGCCACCTTTCCAACAAGTCAGTTTGTCAAATATTTGCCCCGCTAGAGCTGCCTCGGTCAACTGTAAGTGCTGTTATTGTGAAGTGGAAACGTCTAGGAGCAACAACGGCTCAGCTGCGAAGTGGTAGGCCACACAAGCTCACAGAACGGGACCGCCGAGTGCTGAAGCACGTAGCGTGTAAAAATCGTCTGTCCTCGGTTGCAACACTCACTACCGAGTTCCAAACTGCCTCTGGAAGCAACGTCAGCACAATAACTGTTTGTATGGAGCTTCATGAAATGGGTTTCCATGGCCGAGTAGCCGCACACAAGCCTAAGATCAACATGCGCAATGCCAAGTGTCGGCTGGACTGGTGTAAAGCTCGCCGCTATTGGACACTGGAGCAGTGGAAATGCATTCTCTGGAGTGATGAATCACGCTTCACCATCTGGCAGTCCGACGGACGAATCTGGATCTGGATTTGGCAGATGCCAGGAAAACGCTACCTGCCCGAATGCATAGTGCCAACTGTAAAGTTTGGTGGAGGAGGAATAATGGTCTGGGGCTGTTTTTCATGGTTCGGGCTAAGCCCCTTAGTTCTAGTGAATGGACATTTTTACGATACAGCATACAATGACATTCTAGACAATTCTGTGCTTCCAGCTTTGTGGCAACAGTTTGGGGAAGGCCCTTTCCTGTTTCAGCATGTCAATGCCCCCGTGCACAAAGCGAGGTCCATACAGAAATGGTTTTTCGAGATCGGTGTGGAAGAACTTGACTAGCCTGCACAGAGCCCTGACCTCAACTCCATCGAACAACTTTGGGATGAATTGGAACGCCAATTGCGAGCCAGGCCTAATGGCCCAACCTCACTAATGCTCTTGTAGCTGAATGGAAGCAAGTCCCTGCAGCAATGTTCCAACATCTAGTGGAAAGCCTTCCCAGAAGAGTGGAGGCTGTTATAGCAGCAAAGGAAGGACCAACTCCATATTAATGCCCATGATTTTGGAATGAGATGTTCGACGAGCAGGTGTCCAAATACTTTTGGCCATGTAGTGTATCACTCATAATTTTTTGGACATTTAGAGATGTGTTAGCTGGATGTTTTATGGAGCGTTACTCAGTCCAGTGCAACATTTGAGTTCCATAAGTCATTGTACATGATAGCCATCAAGTGAGAGCAGTGAAAGCATGTTAGTTCAGCACTGGTAGAGCTACGACAAAACAAGTGTCTTCTGTAGAGTAATTTATTGAGGCACCTGTTCGGGTGAGAATATGCAGAGACTGTCAGAGCATTGTCTATTCTTCACCCTGTTAGGTTCAAGAGTCCGGGTTCAGCAGGGCGACTCCACATAGTCGTTGTCGAGGCGTGGGTGGAAGTTCGACGCCAGCGAGCGGCTGATGACAATGACGCGGGGTGTGAGGCAGTCGTCGCGGCGATGCAGGATGTTCCAGATGAGCATGGCAGCGGCCAGTGTGGCCAATAAGCAGGCGGCGATGTCCACGTAGCACGAGTAGGACAGGTGTGTGTACGGACCGATCCGGTAGAACGTCACCAAGCCGATCACCAGCACAAAACCTGGGGAGGGAGAGAGTTAGGGAAGGGTTAATTCAATGAGGCCTTAGTCATTCAAACCAGAGATTCCCAAATCTCTGAATTTCGTTCTTCATCTCAAACAATTTAATCAATTGAATTTCTTTAACGGTGACATTGATGGAGAGGGGCGGTAGAATATCATAATCTCACTGTTGCCAACTCCACTAAAATCCTCACGATTCGTTCTAGTCAAGTTAAGCAGTCACAAGTAGAGGGGCAATAAAAATCTATGGGGGATAATCAGTTGCTGGGATGAATAAAGGAAGCCACATGACCCTTGGTCCCAATTATATTCAGTATGGCCACATAATAGTAGGAAAATTTTATACAGGTAGATCATGCGGCATATTGGCCTGCTGTGCTTAGAAATTCTCCCAGAGCCTTTCAGCCCAGAAGGAGCTCTGCTTGTGGTCTTTGAATTCTAAAGGTTTCCTCTCTGGGAGGACTACTGAGATTTCAACATCAAAGGACACACGCAAGGAAATATCACCGTCATTCTTCTCAGAAAAGCTATCCAAATCAGTTTGAAAGCCTTTCTAATGTATTATTGATGTAACGTTAAAACATTGTTGTAGCCTACGTCACCATGATCAGGGAAGATGATCAAAAAGAGAGAAATGTTCAACATGAGTCATTTATATCACTGTTCATCAACAAACTTTCATCAAGATACAGTCTGCATTAGGGGAAACAGCGGCACTGTTCGCCTAATACAGTCTTTGTTGTTTGCAGTAACTTCTTTGTTGTTGTATTATCCCAAACGGACATGGCAGTTTCACCAGTTAAGTATTTCAGCTTTATGGTTTGAATATGAATTGGTGAAAAAACCAAGGTGGGGAATTTACCCATGTTCCCCCAACCAACCCTGTCCCCCCACAAAGTATGATGACAACATTTGATTTGTAACCGAAATGAACTATCACCCACAATGGATTGATCACTAGCCTAGATCTCAAAGAGGAACTCAATTTCCCAGACTTAAGTGATGACTGGAGCCAGTCAATAGTTCAACAATAACACTCGTTTGGGAGCATGTCCGATCAACAGTTGGTATAAATAAAGGGACCAAAAATACTTGCTGGAAAAGGGGATGTTGGTCCATTAGGATATGAAACAGTCAGTTTCCTGTGGCAGGCCAGTAAGCCAGTGACAATGCTGGACAAGCGTTATTTAAATGTTGTGTGAGAGTTTGGCTGTATATGTCTCTCTCTGTATGGGTGATTCCGATCCATAAGCCTGTCTTTGTTTATGGGAGTTTGTCGGTAAGTAATTGTATATGCCTGTGTGTGATTTAAATGTGTGTGTGTTCCTTATGTGTCTGCATTTGAGTATGTAACTTGCGTGCAAGTGTTTGTCTGTCCATCTGTGTGTGTTTAACCTGCCTGACTCATTTTCAAAAAAATCATAAAGGATCTCTCCTCCCCAGTCCCCGGGCTTCAGGCTATGTGAGCTGTGTGAACGGCTTTTTTTTGGCACAGTCTAATCTGTCGGGCTTCCTTCCTATTTTTTCTCTTTCCATCCTTCCTTCCTTCCCTTCTCGCCACACCCCCCGCTTCAGGTTAGCGAATGGGGATGTTTGACACAGTCAGGCAGTCAACGACCTTTCTGAAAGACACTGACTGAACCCATTCTTATCTCATTGTAATAAAACTAGGTCCTGGAAATTCACTGAGTTTACTGCTTGTCCTTCCAATTAATCTATTGTCATTCTTAAACTAGGACAACTAGTAGTCATATCATACCTGAATGACTTAGCACTATTCAATTAATAGAGAATGATTGGTATGACAACCAGCCCACTAAATGCCCTCAGCTTAATCCGCGGTGCACTCAACTGTGCTGTGTAGTCACCCACAAGCCTAAGAGGTCCCGGCGTTCAAATTCCTTGACTTTTTAAGCCTATCGCGTTTGGCTTGCGTTTCTCTTCCTCCAGAAAGAAGCACATATTTCCCTTGGTATTGTTCTTTTTGGAGATGCAATTGCCCCGTTGGGGCGGCAGGTAGCTTAGTGGTTAAGAGCGTTGTGCCAGTAACCGAAAGGTCGCTGGTTCTAATCCCCGAGCCGACTAGGTGAAAAATCTGTCAATGTGCCCTTGAGCAAGGCACTTAACCCTAATTGCTCCTGTAAGTCGCTCTGGATAAGAGCGTCTGCTAAATGACTAAAATGTAAATGTGTAGGGGAGACACAATAGCCAAGGCCACAGTTTGGGTGTGGTGCCAGTTGTGCCCACTGCACATTCCCCCCATAGCAGTGTAAACTGTGGATGTGCATCTCAAACCCACATGAATCTCTAACCCTTTATCTTTGATCCTCTGATCCTCACTCAGAGCTCTCTCCATTCCGTCGCACATTCCTGAGCCTGTCAGTCTCAGGGGTTGAAAACAGGCCAGTGTTACTCTCAGCCACAGTTCAGACCTGCTGCTGAAACCAGTGTTGAGATATCACTGAATGGAATTGGATATTGTTATGATAATATAATATAATAATAAATGTGTGATCCCACTGTCTGCATGTGATAGCTGAGGTGTTTGGCACATCCCGAAAATGAAAACAGAGCATTCTTTCCCGAGAAAGACTGGCTGCTCGTAAAAAATAACTCCCATTCACAGCGGAGAGAGAGGGGGAGAGAGAGGCCCATTCACTGGCTCTCAGTGGGGGAGGAGAGGAACTGCTGAGCGGTGGAGGTCTACATAACTGTCCTGAACTCAGGAAATGGGCCTAGATTAAGTGAAGGCAATGGGGATGATGGGAAATCACTAAGTCTGCTGGTTTTCAATATATTATAAATAATGTCAAGATGGTTTTTTTTCAAGTGGTGGAGATGAAGATTATGAATTGCCTGGCTGGGCTGTGGGACAGTGGATGTGCATTGATTATTGAAATGTACCTGTTTTATAATATACTGTAGGCTAGTCTTGCCTTTGAATCACTGTCAAGATCTGTCAAATCAGGTCTTGGCTCTGGCTGTTTGTATTTCCATATAGTCTCTTATTTCATAGTCAATATAGTAAGCCAATGAGAAGCCTTGGGACACTGATACCTAGGAACCATTGTTATCTCTACTGCCTTGAAGTCCTCACCAAGTCATCTATATTCTGCTCACTCTTGTTGACCAAATATGGTGAAGTCTTCATATAGTGGCATATGAGTACAAAGAATAATGCAATTTTTCCAGCTGCGGGTATTTTTATCTGGGGGAAGTAGGTGTGTATGTGTCTCTCTCACTCATTAGTCATGTCCCTATTCTTACTAATGTCAACATGTGGGTTTATAATAGACGGGCAGTTATTTATTTTTTGCAGCTGAAAACAGCTACCGACAACCGCCCTAAATATCCATCCATACCTAATTATTCTGCCATTGTATTAACATCTCACACATTGATGAGACAAGTCCTTCTGTGCCAAACAATAGTTTGGCTCGGCACGTTCTTTTGGAAGGGGAATCAGGGATGATTTGGGTGGGTCCCAGCGATGCGGCCCGAAGAAGCTTGCATTTTATCTCATGTCGAGAGAGCGGACCCTTTATTTGCCCCTGTTCCTGGACATTCTTTAAACACGGGCATAAAAGCTAGGCCAAGCTTATCTGGACAGCAGCTCTTCCCACCTTACAGTGATGTGTATAAAATGACGTTTTTGTACCGACCAACCCAATACATGCGCACACACACACACTCAGTCTCTGTTGAACTGTCTTTTGCGTACGCTCCCTTCTCTTTCCTCCTCTGCTAAGGGTTTGCATAACAGGTAGTCGCAGGCATTTCCTTGTCCTGAGCAGGGATATCCTGGCGCCCGACAGTCGCTCCCTGGCTCGCTGCAGCTCCGGCCGGCCCCCCAGCCCGCACCGACCGCCTGCTATATTTAACCATCAGACCCTTGAATGCTGCCCCCGCTGTGCCACAATACTGACCAGGCCTGACATCCCTAAACAACAAGATGTGAGCCCAATACAACGTGACAACGTCACCCCCCCCCCCCCCCCCCCCCCCCCCCCCCAACATGGGCACTGGGAAAGGGCCATGCCTACACTGCCACACGGCCCTCTGGGATGGATGGCGGGAGGGAGGGAGGTAGTCTTGGTCTGCCCTCACCCCCCTCTTCCTCTCCTTTCCATTGCTATTCCTGGTCGTCCTTCTCTTTAATTGACTTTTCAAGAAAATTACATCTTGGAACGATAACGGCTGATCCTTGTTTTGGTTTTTAGTTTGTTTAGTCTCTAGATTTGTTTATGTTTTTTGTCCTCTAGCCAAGCCTCAAAGCTCCACGGGTTTCTCTTATGTGTTGCACTGGGGAACGAGGGAATTTTGTTTCTTAGCAACACACTGTGAACATTTTTAGATCTGAGGAACGTTCAGAAAAATCCTGAAGTGATGAACACTATTGAACATTTCAAAGTTGAACTCAAGAGTTAGACACTTACTCGTTCACTTTAGATTCCCCTGTAGTCTCACTTTCTATCTGGTAGTGCATTGGTGTCTTGCTTTGGGCAGTAGGTGTTTTATAGTGTGGTTGCCTAACTCAGGGGTTTTCAAACTACGGTACTGCAAGGGGTCCGTCAATTATTATTATACTTTTTTTGGGGGGGGGGGTTTATGTGAAAAATAATTATTTTATGAATATCGCTAGCTGCAACAGAATACCATTGTGGATACAATTTTTATGTCTCTGTGTCCATGCCAAAATCTTGAACTATAGAAAACTCTTAGGCGGGCTGTCTAAGTAGGAATTTTCAGGGTTGAAAAACAGTTTCGGTGTCAACTTAAATGACCAAAACCAGATAGAAAGCATGCAGAAAAGATATTGAACTATAACCATTTTTTTTATAATTCCATCCTTGAGAACTAACAATCAAATATAAACTAGACAATCAGGGAGAATCGAACATTTAAAAATCCGGCATTCAGAGCACATGCCCATTTGATTTTGTTATAATGTTTGAGCAGAGGAACACAGCATTAACCATGGCAAAATGCACAGAATTGCAGGAAATAAGCTTTAAAACTGCAAAATCATTCCATGTGAAAATGAAACAAAAATGTCCATGCATGTTCTATTTCACAGAAAGATCCTTTGAAAAATGATTTTTGACATTGCCTGTGTTTAGCATTTGTCTTTTTATTTTCACATAGAATGACCGACTACTTGGCCATCTGCAGTGTTCATGTCCAGGCTTTGTAAGTTTCCGTTTTTTTCTCTATTGTAGGTGTTGGACAGCCTGCCACATCTGGTTGCTTGTATTTGTGCACCATCTCAGAGCCACAGATATACATAGAGTATACACTAATCTAGACCAGTGTTTCTCAACCTCTTTTTTTTTACAAGGGACTGGCAAGCTAGGGTCCTTTCTGCCTCCTTGAATGACCTCTTACATTACAACTAGTACCTGACAACTGACAAAATCATATACAGCTAACCATCTCCTAGACCGCAAACCATCATCCCATGGACCAGTGGCGGTCCGTGAACCAGAGGTTGCAGACACTGGGGTAGGCTACATGTAGCTATAAACACCCTGCCCCATGTTCTGTGGTCAGTGTATTAAAGCCACATTCTTGGATTCGTTATTCTTCAAGAATCAACGACTAAATATAAAACATTTAACAGATTCCCAGACTGTAGCTCTAACTAGGTTGGTGTGGTACTCACTGGCCAGCTGGAACAGTGCGGCGATGGCCTCCTCCCACCACTGGGAGTCCTGGGTGATGAAGGGCAGCTCCATCAGGCCCAGCAGGAAGATGAGCTGCCCGGCCGTCAGCGCCACCGTAGCCATCAGGTTACACGCTCGCATCATGTCAAACTGCACTGATGGGCAGAGAGAGGGGGATACTTTTCTAGGATGATCTCTCTGGCCAAGACGTCAGGTTAACAGTATGTTTACGGACATATTGATACATTGTTATTGATGGATCCATATGAATTGTGCAGATTTTCATCTCAAACTATAGACAAAGACACCTTTTTTTTTTTTTTTACTTCTGCTTGAACCAATCGTAGTCTACTTGACCAAGTCACTGTGATGACCTGTTGATTTCAGATTGCTGTGTGTCATACTATGATATCAAATGTAAGGCTGTTGTCATAACCTGACATAACCAGTCACTCAAGCCTTGATAGTAAGAATTTGAACTGTCCTTTTTTTATCAGTGTCCTTATCAGTGTATGTTATAAATCAGTCCAATACAGCCCAGGCGGCCATCTCTTCTCACTGATTGAGATTGACTGTTTCTGGTTTGTATGCATCACATTCGTCAACTGTCAACAACTGGGTTTAACATCTTGCTGTGTCTGGTTTGGCAATATACATGATCATTGTTGATCTCCATGCACAAAAAAACGTTATTGCATCGTCAACGATCTGCTGGTCTGAGCTTCATTCCCAGGGCACCTACCTTTTTATATTGCATTGTTCCTAGTTTCTGAACTAGACCTATGTAAAAAAAAATAATAATAATAATCATAATGAGCTAACATTTAAGAAACAGACACGTCATTCCACTTACATTTGACGGTGCTGCGGGACTCCTGGTAGCCTGCATACTCCGAGCCCCAGCCCAAGCCCTCACACGGCCTCTGAGTCCCCTGACCTCTCCTATTGGACCCCCCATCCCCAGGTTCATCCCGGCCACTCTCTCCTCCAGTCATGACGGGACACATCCTCCACAGCCCCACGCTGCGCTTGCGTCCATCCTCCAGGGCCTGCAGCACCCAGCTGGGGGTGAAGGCTGCCACGTTGTTGAGGACCAGGGACAGCAGGGCCACCGCCACTGCTGCCGCCACCAGCCGCTGCACGGCCATGTGCCGCTGCCCGCCCGCCACCTCTCCCTCCCCCACCTCCCTCTCCTCGTCCCTCTGCTCCTCTCCTGCGCTGCCCTGCCTCTCCTGGGCAGCAACACCAGCGGTGCTCGGGGCCCCCCCCTGCTCTCCTCCTCTTCTACTGCCAGTCAGCTAGCGGCTAATGCTAACCCCAGGCAGTAACACCGCTGAAGAAAAACAGGAATGTGTTGTTAGCTCAGCATATTGTTGTGTTGTTAGCTCAGCTCATGTTGTTAGCTTAATCCTCATTGAGGTTTTGGGGGTGGAGGTCAGTTGGTTTAGCTTTCCTCCTCGGAGTCCACGGTGGGCAGGCGTGGGTTAATCCGACCGACATCGAGGTCCATTCCACTGGCTTTAGTGACTGGCTGCAGCTTGGCTCTCGCTCTCGAACCTCGCTCCACTATTGTCTCTTCAACCGTCTCTTTTCCACTGCTTTTGTTACCCCTTTTCTCTCCTCGTCTGATTTGTACTTGCAGCACTCCTCTCCGTTGGTTCTCTGCAGCTGTTTCAAGCTTCTCTCTTCTCTGTGTAGGCGTCTGCCCCCCCCAGTTTCTTTCTTTCTTCTTCTGTGTTTTTTTTTCTCTTCAAACTCTCCACTGGGGTGGCGGGGGAGTGGAGACGCAGTGTAGAGCAGCAGAGTAGATCCTCTGGATCGTGTTGCTAAGGGCCAGTGGCTCACTGAAGGCTGCTCACTGAGGCTTAACCAAGGAAGGGCTTTGTCAACTGGAAGAGTCTTCTTCCCTAGTCTTCTTCTGACCCTCTCTCTCTCTCTCTCTCTCTCTCTCTCTCTCTCTCTCTCTCTCTCTCTCTCTCTCTCTCTCTCTCTCTCTCTCTCTCTCTCTCTCTGTCTCTCTGTCTCTCTGTCTCTCTGTCTCTCTGTCTCTCTGTCTCTCTGTCTCTGTGTGTGTGTGTGAAGTGTTGGTTCAGGGTGGGCGATATTAGTCTGTGGCTGCAACAGGTTTGACCAGACAACTCCCTCCCTCCCTCTGTGTGTGAGAATGTGCGCTCCTGAGACCCACTCAGAGACGACGAATGGGAGTGTTTTCAGCCCTAAGAGCCTAAGGGGAATTCTAGCTGCTGCAGCTCCTCTTCTCTGTGTGTGTGTGTGTTACAATTACAAACACACTGGCCCCCACTGTCCGACCAGCAACAGGATGCGTTTCCTGAGAGGAAAAAGGTCGGAGGGGGGCAAAAGGCAGACTCTGTCCTTCTTTCTCCCAAACCCTGTCTCTCTCTGTCGCCAAACCCTAAGGGTTCTGATTAGTTCTTTTCTGGCTCTGAAACATCTGTGTAAGATGTGTATTCAGAGACTGATAGATCCGTGGGGATTTGAGGGGCTGTGTTTGTATGGTCTGTGACCATAGAAAGCAGACTTTTGCCTGCCAGTGCAGTGCAGTGCTATATAACATGGGTCTCTGCAAGGCAAGCTTGGCCTCCTTTCTCCCCGCCAGTGAGTCCCAGGGCCCCTAAAAATTCAGGGAATTTCCTGTTGCCTAACTTTAATAAACAGCCCACATCTGTATCAGCTAAAGAGGGAAGATGGAGGGAGGGAGAGGGGGGACAAAAATGTGTGTGTGAGAGCGAGTTGAGTTGGAGCTCCCTGCAACCATTCTCCTATGCGCAATCCCCTGTAAAAAGCATACCTCCCTGGTTTGGCCTCCTGCCCTGAGCTGGTTCTGGATTCCCACACACAGAATACTGCTGTCTGTGATTAAATGTTAACGTGTTAAAGGGGTTTAGAAGAAATTTAGAGGAGTTGATTGGATTAGATGTTGAAATTGGAGCATGGGCAGTGTACATGAAGACTAGCTTCTCTTGTGCCAGACATCAATGGCTAACCTGCATATGCAAGAAATGAAATGGCTATAACAAATACTTTCAACTTTTTACTGAATGTCCTTGAATCACAAAGGAAGTGTTTTACAATGTTTTATTTTCTCCTATGCTAATCGAGTGCTTTTCCATTCTCCCTATTGCATTATGGATTCTGATCTTATCTTAGTCATACAATATACTTTATTAAACAAAATGTGTCGCTATCTTGTCTGTGAGAAACACACACACACACACACACACACACACACACACACACACACACATATCTTATACGTAATATATGCCATTTAGCAGACGGTTTTATCCAAAGCGACTTACAGTTATGCTTGCATACATTTTACGTATGGGTGGTCCCGGGAATCGAACCCACCATCTTGGCGTTACAAGCAGCATGCTCTACCAACTGAGCTACAAAGGACCACATACTCAAACAAAATGTCTCTCTCCTCTCTCTCTGCAGTGAGGCAGTATGGGAGAACATGGCGAGGATGTGTGTGAAGAACCGGCGTCTGGACGTGGCACGGGTGTGTCTGGGCAACATGGGTAATGCCAGGGCGGCGCGGGCACTACGGGAGGCCGAGGCCGAGCCTGAACTGGAGGCCAGGGTAGCAGTACTGGCCCTGCAACTGGGCATGCTGGTAAGGAAGCCAACCAAGCAGTAGGTGATCATAAAACATAATGGTGGCTTCACTTCCCTTTCAATTAGTTTCCTTAGCCAGGTATTGTCATACTTGGTACATAGAGTAAAATAATGGTACATTATAGGTTGTTCAATTCTATCATTACCACATATAGCCACCTAGTACCAGTAGAATTACCTATGTGATTACCCTGTAGTAGTGTAGTTAGTGTAGTTAGTAAGTATGTGCTATTATGGAGTAGTTACCACTTTTGTCTTAGTCATTAGTAGTGTATCTGTCCATACTAACACACTACATGTGTACTGTATGTAAAGTCATCATTACAGAATAACTTCTTACCCAGGGATAATTCCCCTAATCTTAAGTGTTACTTTTCAATTGGTCCACAGGAGGATGCAGAGAAGCTGTATAAGAGCTGTGGGCGCTTCGACCTCCTGAACAAGTTCTACCAGGCATCAGGCCAGTGGCAGCAGGCCGTGGAGACAGCAGAGACCCACGACCGTATCCACCTCAGGACCAGCTACTACAGCTATGCCAAATACCTGGAGGCCATCGGAGACAAGAGCATGGCCCTCGTGTTGTAAGAGCCAGCTTAGCACTGATGCTATGACTGTTAACATTTGATATGTTAGCATTTAATTTGACACTTAGCATTTGATACAAGCAGCAAATCGGTGCTGGTTCTACAGTGCATTAGCATTTTCACTTGAACCTTGTTCTTGTGTATAAAGAATATATGAAATGCATGGTACTGTATGGGTAGATGTATCAAGGCAATAACAGCCTATTGTTGTACTAGATATACAGTGCATCCGGAAAGTATTCAGACCCCTTGACTTTTTCCACATTTTGTTATGTTACAGCCTTATTCTAAAATCTAAACAGGTTTTTAGAAATTTTGGCAAATGTATTAAAAATAAAAAACAGAAATACCTTATTTACATAAGTATTCAGACCGTTTGCTATGAGACTCGAAATTGAGCTCAGGTGCATCCTGTTTCCATTGATCATCCTTGAGATGTTTCTGCAACTTGATTGGAGTCCACCTGTGGTAAATTGAAGTGATTGGACATGACTTGGAAAGGCACACACCTGTCTATATAAGGTCCCACAGTTGACAATGCATGTCAAAGCAAAAACCAAGCCATGAGGTTGAAGGAATTGTCCGTAGAGCTCTGAGACAGGATTGTGTCGAGGCACAGATCTGGGAAGGGTACCAAAAAAATTCTGCAGCATGGAAGGTCCCCAAGAACACAGTGGCCTCCATTATTCTTAAATAGAAGAAGTTTGGAACCACCAAGACTCTTACTAGAGCTGGCCGACCGGCCAGACTGAGCAATTGGAGGAGAGGGGCCTTGGTCAGGGAGGTGACCAAGAACCCGATGGTCACTCTGACAGAGCTCCAGAGTTCCTCTGTGGAGATGGGAGAACCTTCCAGAAGGACAACCATCTCTGCAGCACTCCACCAATCAGGCCTTTATGGTAGAGTGGCCAGACAGAAGCCACTCCTCAGTAAAAGGCACATGACAGCCCGCTTGGAGTTTGCCAAAAGGCACCTAAAGAGACTCAGACCATGAGAAACAGGATTCGCTGGTCTGATGAAACCAAGATTGAACTTTTTGGCCTGAATGCCAAGCGTCACGTCTGGAGGAAACCTGGCACCATCCCTACGGTGAAGCATGGTGGTGGCAGCATCATGCTGTGGGGATGTTTTTCAGCGGCAGGGACTGGGAGACTAGTCAGGACCGAGGGAAAGATTAATGGAGAAAAGTACAGAGAGATCCTTGATGAAAACCTGCTCCAGAGCACTCAGGACCTCAGACTGGGGTGAAGGTTCACCTTCCAACAGCACAACGGCCCTAAGCACACAGCCAATACAACGCAGGAGTGGCTTCGGGAAAAGTCTCTGAATGTCCTTGAGTGGCCCAGCCAGATCCCGGACTTGAACCCAATCGATTATCTCTGGATAGACCTGAAAATAGCTGTGCAGCAACGCTCCCCATCCAACCTGACAGAGCTTGAGAGGATCTGCAGAGAAGAATGGGAGAAACTCCCCAAATACAGGTGTGCCAAGATTGTAGAGTCATACCCAAGAAGACTCGAGTCTGTAATCGCTGCCAAAGGTGCTTCAACAAAGTACTGAGTAAAGGGTCTGAATAGTTATGTAAATGTGATATATCCGTTTTGTATTTGTAATACATTTGCTAACATTTCTAAAAACCTGTTTTTGCTTTGTCATTAGGGGGTATTGTGTGTAGATTGATGAGGAAAGAAATCTATTCAATCCATTTTAGAATAAGGCTGCAACGTAACAAAATGTGGAAAAAGTAAAGGGGTCTGAATACTTTCTGAATGCACTGTACCCTCAGCTGTGTAATTCCTCAGTTTTCTGTCTGTTTTAGCTATGAGAGGTCTGACACACACCGGTTCGAGGTACCCAGGATGCTGCTAGATGATGCACTGTCTCTGGAGATTTACGTCAACAAAATGAAGGACAAGTAAGTCTGGGAATGGTGGAATTAGTTTTATTCTGTCCTCAACCCAGACTCAATCTACTACTGATTCTAGACTTTTAATTATTTAAAGTGTATTCAGTTTAAAAAATAAATAAATACAGACAAATGAACATTGTTGAGAGTTGAGTATTTGACATGCAGTTTTCTCTGTTGACCCAGAAACATCTATAAGTGGTGGGCTCAGTACCTGGAGAGCCAGTCAGACATGGAGTCAGCACTACGCTACTACGAATACGCACAGGACTTCCTCTCTCTGGTCCGCGTGCACTGCTACCTGGGGAACATTCAGAAGGTAACACACATTTGTATCAGGGGGGAACATTTATGACGTTGCACACATTTGTGGCAATG